TGAAATCAGAATACGGGTTTCTTCTACTTCAGGACGGTGTCGTAATACCTAATGAATAAAAAAGTCAGCAGAGTTAGTTTCTTTTTTTCTCTGGATCTTAATGTGAAAAATGTTATAAGATAACAAAAAAGGGGTACAATATATTCACCTATAAAGAAAAATAATTTTCATACACATTTGAATTAAATTATTAAGGGAAAAATGAACAATATATTATCTAAGAATTGTTGAAGTCTTATGATAAATATGTATGCCCGTAGTGGTAAACATTTATTTTCAACCAGTTTATTTTAATATTAAACAGTCCAATTACCAATCAATTCAATAATCTGTTCCGCTGTTATATATACATGTTACTTTTTCCAAATCATATAACATCTTTTTTTGAGTTAGACACTGTAATTTCGTCTGGATATAAAGTTTATTTTATCACTCTTACATAACAACACAAACTTTGTTAATTAGTGTGCAGATAGTGTGGTTCGGTCTACTTATATCCACATAAGTAGTATATAGTGATGGTCAGGCACTAAAAGTATTTTGGCAGAAGATCGATAAGGAAAGAACAGAAATGAAGCGCAATCGGTGTGAAAATGCATGAAAAATGGAAGTAGAGAAGATGAACTAATATTTACAGAAGGAACAGTTAAAATTAATACAATCGATTGTTATTTTTCAAATTAACTGTTAACTGTATGGTTATCAGAATTTAGTAAGATAGTCTGTAATTTGTGCTCAAATACATTCGATTGTCCCCACCGGTGTTTTTGTTCACTACGATAGTATTCAGCTACTTATCCCATCATAATAGAATACATTAAACATAACTAATGAAAAAGTTTTCAAATGTCTTTCATCAAGATAATTTTGATATAGAAGCGCTTGAACGAATGTAGTTTAGGAATTTAACAAAAAAAGATTGAATTAGACTATGTTTAAATGTCAAAAGTTGATCAAGAACAAGTTCTGTCCATATTATTACAATTTCATCTACTGAATATGGCGTCAATATTGAAATCATGAGAAATGAACAAAAAAGTGATTAAATTTTTCTATACCACTTTCAACAGTGTACATTTCCTTATCAATGTAAATAAAATAACGTTTGATTGGCCTCAATATTGCTGTGATAAACATATAGAGAAAAATTTCCCTTTCCGTAACAAGACATGATTCTAATATATAGATTGATAAATGCTATATATTATTTACTGTCTTTCCTATCATAAACAACTGGTTATTCTATGTTATACATAAATTCCATTTGTATGATCTGGAATTAACTCATTCTCTGGGTCATTCATCTATAGTGTCTTGAACTGAGATGTTGTTATTTTGGCTTAAGTAAATGGGAATGAAGTAATTATTTACAAGTGATCAAGTCACACCACACATACTCAGAAGAGAATACTGAAACACATTGGAAATGGAAAATATTAATGATTATCATTAAAAGTGTTGGATTTTGCTAGATATCTGTATATCTATTCGGTTTGCAGATGTCTTGTCCGTGCGTCTAATATCTCAGTTATAACTTTTTGCATCACAAACTGGATCTACACATATACTTGAAATAGCATGTTTTTTTATAAAGACCAACTTAGTCAAGTAGTATAAACAGTAATCCATCTAAATACATGTACCTAAATTACATTGTCTGAGAAAAGAATTCACCGATTTGATAAATTCAAATAAAAAACTCACATAAATGTCTAAAAATAAAAAGACCTAGCTACGTATAACTCCAATCAACAGCTTACAAATTTTATCTACGAACGTATGTAAACTGTCACTAATACGAGACCTCTTCATCGATACAAATAAAAAGGTGAGCATATTCAACTGATTGGGACATATCCTTTGAAAATATCTGGCAATAAGCACGACTTTAATTTGCATCTGTTGTATTCATAAATGTTTTGTTGTGTCAAAACGATCGTCACTGCAAAGTTGACAAAAAACCTCAGACTTTTCGGAATATATACTGTTAATATTATTAAATCTTAGTTCGAATCTCACACAGATCATAAGTCACCTCAAAATCAGTAATTATTAGCACCAATAGAACTTATTGTCAGAGACCATTTTAAATAAAATAGTTATTAATTTAAATCGATTCGTGATTTTGATAAAGTTCAATAACCTCTATAAGTCTACACTGACAGTCAGTCAGTTACAACGTAGAACTTCATACGTACGCACATCAGTTTGAGTTGCCATACCACATTAACACAGATATCAAGTTGTCGATTCAAATCCCATATTGGTAGAAGTAGTAAGAGTATAAGTATTATGTGAAAGATAAGGGTTTGCAGATGTTATTGAAGGAGTGCAATACAGTGAAATAAATTTGAAAAGAGAAAAAGGATACGGACATGGAGAATTCAGAAGATTAGAATTTGGTAGAACACAAGGAGTGGATGCACCTTCGCCATTGCAAACGATTTTGAGCCATGTCATTCAAGGTCTCTGACCATCGGTTGCTATCATCTCGCGAATCCCAACCAGGTAGTCTACACCTACCAACATGGCTCAGTCCAATTGTCAGTGACTTCATAGATTTATGCCATGTTTTGGTCTGGCCGCCCCTAGCTTTCTTCCAACCTGCTCCTACACCATAAAGTATTGCACGTCGGGGCAGTCGGTGGTTGGGCATACGTAACACGTGTCCCAGCCATCTCAACTGATGAAGTTTCACTACTTCATCAATCGATTTGCCATCCTTACATAGTAATCGTTCCTAACAACTGCATTACTTACCCGGTGGTCCCAGGATATACGAGCAATGCTTCGAAGACACCTATGATCGAAAACTAGTAGCCTACGAATATCCTCTACTCTTATCGGCCATGTTTCACTACCATAAAGTAGGATGGAACGAACTCCTACACAGTAAACCGTCCTTTGATTGCTAGACGGATATCTCGCCAATGCCATAAATGACGCAAGTCGGCGAAAGCTAGACGAGCCTTCTGTTTCCGTGCTGAGATTTCGTCATACACCAGACCACAAGGGCTGATGAGACTACCAAGATAAGTGAAGCTGTCAACACGCTCAACTTCTTCACTCCCTATCATAAGTTCAGGTGACGATGCAACCCAATCCTGAAGTAACATTTTGCACTTCGAGGGAGAGAATCGCATCCCGAACATGCCTGCATGGTTGCTTATAGTGGTCAGAAGACTCTGCATTTTTTCAGAGTCTTCACCGAATAAAACTATGTCGTCGGCGTATTCTAAGTCAACAAGTGAGCCTCCTGGTAAAAGTTCAACTACTGCAGATTGAGATGATGAAAGTGCTATCTCTAAAAGCATGTCAATGACAAAGTTAAACAAGAATGGGGAGAGTGGACAGCCCTGACGAACACCAATTCTGATGACAGTTCGCCATAGGCTCTAACTCGACCAGTTGTGTTCGAGTAGAGAGCCTTTATGAGGTTAATGTACTTCTTTGGTACTCCTTTCACTGACAAACACTGCCACAGAACCTCACGAACAACGGGAGTCTACACTGACAGTTACCATCTGTTTATCAGTATCAAACTCTAAAGGGAATTTCTGTAGTGCTTTTGAGAAACAGTGATCAGTACAGTTCAGCTGTGTCGGGTGTAAAGAAGTTAGCCATCAAACACAATGGAGGGTGGTCGCGCAATACCGTGGATTGATCAGAGTTAGCTTTTACACTATTGGATCCCGGTTGAGTGATCTAGACATTAGGCGTTCGTGCGCATGACCAAATACTATGGGTTTCATTGCCAGATGAGTGGTCGTGGATGCGTTTTGATAAAGAATCCTTCATAAGGACGAGCAGGCCATGCAGTGATTCCCGGTCTTCAATGATCGTCTAATTTAGATCAGTTCGTGATTTTAATACAACTCAACAATCTCCACAACTCAACACCGATAGTGAAATTTTGAGCTACATAAATACACTATCTACTGATATATTTGAAAAGTTGTAATTATTAGTTCGAAGTATCGAAAATAATGTTTGTTTTAGAAATGTAGTATTTTTTGTCAGTCCTAGCAAAGTTTAATTTTTTGAACCAAACCTGATCATAATAAGTAGGAACGTTTAGTAACTTTATATGTTAGTCACAGAACTGGGATTAGTACTGATTTTATTGTTATCCATGCCTATTGGAATCTAAGGATTAAATAAACCAATATTACCACTAATTGATCCAAGGGTGAGTCAGAAACTAAATGGACCATTATTATTAATTAACCATCATTGAAAATATTAATCACGTTGGTTCGAGAACTGTTGAAGATATGAATCTGAAAGATGAATTGAGTATAACACAATCATTTGGATTACGCATCAGGAATAGTGAACAATCTGATTAAAAACGACACATTGTCCAAGTTAAAAGCTATGATTATATAAATAAATATAGATGATAAACGAATTATACAACTCAGGCCAAGTCATTGTTCAGTCCGAACATTCTTCAGTCTTATTTTTATCAATATCTTATACATAAGCATTTGTAAGTTTCCACAAATTCGGTAAACTAGGATACCGAGCAATATACAAAATAAATCCAAAACTGTTAGACCAAGAAAACACTAGTAAATCGAAGTATCAGTGATAAATTTTGTTTTTTAAGTGAGGAGTTTCTGTTCAAGTAATTTTAAACGGTACATGTTGGCATAGTCTCATTATCATGGTATAGTGATTGAGCTGACAAAAGAAGAATAAATACTTAGCGTTTGGATATTTTCTTTGATTCATCATCATGAACACCCAGCAATCTATAATAACAATGGATATTTAATCGTAGAGATGATCGATATTCAAAACTGTGACTTTATTCCCTAGTGTGGGAGAAAATATGTATATTTTTAATGCTGAATCATTTTTAGTTCCATTTATTTATAATTACAAGCTATAATAAAATGAATTGTTATAAACTGTTGAATAGAATAAGAACAACAGCTCAGAGAACAAACCAACATCAAAATAAGAACAATCATTTTTACGATAATAATTCTTACCTCCGGGTGTTGGTGTACCAACTTCTTTTCTTAATTCATCAGTAGTTGCAATTGGTACAACTGAACAAAATGGAAATGTAAGATCCATATCAAGGCGATAAACAACACCAGTTGATTCATTCATATTATTACTACTACCATGACTTGCTTTCGGTGCACCAACTAAACATGATGGTTGTGACTGTCCAATGTATGTTGCTACAGAATAACCAAAATAACTTCCACGATTAATGTGTGTATATAGCCTGGCTGAATCCGGTGGATATAATAATAAATCCTGAACAATTTTATTCTCTCTGTAGGATGATGATAATGTATAACTTGTAAAAAAAACAAGTAAATATAATAATTGTAATTTTAACATAATTGTTAAGTGGTGCATTTGATACACTGAAAAGTAGTTTATGAAAGTAGTCAGTCTCTATATGAAGATTCTCATTTGAACATTATTATGGAGAAGGTACGTTACATCATAACATTACACTTAAGATGAGGCATATTCCAAGTAATGCTGTTTAACCTTTTAAAGTAATGTGCCAGATAAAGATGAATTATTTCTTTCCCGTTTCAACTTGACCAGAAGTATTAACCAATCAGTAACGTTATTTACATAGTCTGTTTTGATGTCCAATGTTTTACATATCAGTAAGCTTTGACCTCTAGTATGTGAGAAATAAAAGACACAAAAACACATACACACGAACATTCGCACGTGTTCTTACTGTGTGTCTATGCCGAGCATGACGCATCAATCCCAATAATATATATATATATATATATATATATATATATATATGCACGTTGTGGTATGTCGATAAAAAAATGCCTATATCATTAAACAGCCAAACTTTGGAGGTTGAATTTCCTCACTGAAATTATGCCAAATGTGCAATCAGCACAATAATAAATCATTTTTTACAAGCACACTAGTGTAAAGTATGTCAAAGGAGAGAAAGTATATGAATAATCCACAAAACAACAACTTTTATTGTTCTGCATGGTTTAGTAATATGCATAATGTAAAAGAATACTTCAAGTCAAAGCATCATATTAGAAGATAATCGCAAAGGGATTATTCATGATTAATTCCATGATATTCGTAATATTTCTCACCCACTTTGGTTGTATTTTCAATTTCGATTTCCAACAGGGTTGAATAATACTTACTTTCGACTAATATATTTCTTTAAATATCTGAAAAATCTTATAATTAAATCCAGTAAAAAGCTAAAATGATTGACTGGTACAAGGCTTCAAATGCAAACTTGAACAGACTGGGTATTATAAATTAGTTTCTGTAAATTTGTTAGATGATTTCGCCGTAGAACAGAAGGTACATATAAGCAATGAGATTTAGGAGGAATTCGAAAATTGAAAGATAATCAAAGACTAAATGAAAACATACACATTCAATTGATGAGAGCTGGACATTTTTTCAGAAAAATTGTAAAAATATACACACTGATCATGAATGCTGAAGGTTCATCAGTGTCATAATATATAGTATAACCAATGGGCATCAAAACTATATCTCATGCGATTAAATAAGTATAACTGAACAAGTAAGTTGAACGAAAAATCAAATATCCAATTTTACATCAGTTAATACCGTTAGATCGTTTCCAGACTATAACTATTGACAAGACCCGTGGCAAACTGAAGTTAAGAAAAACTACAGAGTATGAGTATTAATAAAGTCTACAGGCCATCGAGAATCAGTATGTCATTAAATGAAACTATTCTCACAAGTAATCTTTTCAAACTATACAGTTATTCTAAAAATAACCATGTTTAAAAAGTTAGTTCCTTGTGTAAATGCAATCATTCAACCATTATGAATTTTGAAATGATGAGTATATTCAATATATGAAGGTGAGTTCATTGTACTGGTAGGCAGACGAATAGAAGAAACTTGTATTGTATCGACGTCCAATAATGATAATTATAATAATAATAATTTCATTGTTACAAATAATGAGTTCATACTATAGGAACCATTAAGCTCGAAGAAAATAAGCGAAAATTATGATTAGGAAGCATAGTTGGTCATTCAGAAACTAATATCAGTTTAATTAGGTTTATTGTATCCTTCTGTTAAAAAAGGTACTTAGGAATTTGTGGGAATAATAGTTGCTCAGCTTTTAATTACGGACACCAAATACGTTCAACAAGACAACATTCTTTTATCGATCGATAGTATTAGTACAAAAGTCAGTGATGATTTTTTTAAGTCCTAATTATTATTCCGGTCATGAAAAGTATGTAATTGCTTACTTATGCCTGTTACCCATCGTGAACAGCGCAGACCACACACCAGCATTCTCCATACAACTCTGTCCTGACCTCGCCTTCCCAATTCTTTCCATTTCATGTCTGCTTCCGATTCTCGACGTAGTGTGTTCTCCGACCTTCCTCTTCTTCGTTTCCCTCCAGGATTTTAAGTAAGATTGTTTTGCGATGCAGTTTGGTGATATCCGTAATGTATGCCCTATCCAACAACTCCATTGTCTTTTCCTAATTTCCTCTTTACCTGGGAGCTGGTTTGTTCTCTGGCACAGTAGACTGTCGCTGATGGCATCCGGTCAACGGATATTGAGTATTTTGAGTAGACAACTGTTTATAAACACTTGCACCTTTTTGATAATGGTTGTGGTAGTTCTCCAGGTTTCAGTTCAGTACAGTAGAACTTTATTGACGTTCATTCGGCAAGTTTTCAATTTAATGTTGGTTGACGGTTGCTTTGAATTGTATAAGTTCTTTAACTGTAGGAATGCTGGGCTTACTTTGCTAATCCTCACCTTTACGTCTGCATTCTATCATCGTTGTTCATCGATGATGCTGTCCAGGTATGTGAAACGTTTACCTCTTCTACAGTTTCTCCATCAAGTGTGATTGTTCTGGTGTTCTCCGTGTTATATTTGAAGATCTCGCTTTTCCCCTTGTGCATGTTGAGGTCTACTGATGTAGAGAATTATGCTACACTGGTTCTCTTGACCTCGTAAATCTGATCTTTGTCATCGTCATTGCTACCACTGATGGGTGCATAACACAGGACAACATTCATTTTGCTTCCTTCTTTCTTCGTTTTGAATGATGCTTTGATGATTCTGGGTCCATGAGATTTCCATACGACAAGTGGTTTATGTGCTCCTTTGGATAGCATCAGAGCAACTTCCTGAGTGTGTGGAGCATTTTCCTCTTCTTGACCAGAGTACAGTAGCATCTCCCAAATCTGTTTTCCTGTCCAACTTGAGTCCAATGGGTTTCTCTTATTCTAAGCACATTCAAGTAGTATCTCGTCATTTTCTTTGCTATTTGACGGGTCCTACCGGTCTTCCACGTTGTCCATACGTTCTATTTACCTCTGGTTGTTAGAAGGGGCATTGATCTCGAGATTTTCGAAGAATCCCGGCTTTCGCCATCAGACGTCATAATTCTTCCTTCAACTCCCATGGCGGAGTTTCATTGGTTTAATTTGTTCAATCTGGTTAGCCATTTTTAAACAAGATTTCTTCTACGGAATGGGGTTACCGACTCCATATCCAACCCTCCTTCTTTGCCCAGACTTAGGACCGGCAGTAACTCTAGAAGAGCTACAGGCGGAGTTGATAACTGACAGAACTTATAGATAAATAGAAGTGTAACTTGTATTTAAATATTGAATTGATCAAACTGCATTTACAATCCTGGTTGTGTAAGCCATTTAAATTACATACGGTGAAAAATATAGTTGAACATCCGTCTTGATTTAACTCATCGTATTCTTTCCTCCAATGTTTACCACACTCAAAAAACTTATTATAAAAATGATTTCCTATTGCTGAATTTATAATTCTTATAAATTTCGTTTAGTATAATATTATTGTTAATAATGAATACAATGTCTGTTTATTTATCTTTATTCCATAATTATGGTTTCCCTTCTTGTGGATAATCTATTGACCAATACAATACTTTATATACCTGGTTTGATTTTCATTAATTATTTGGTTATCAATCTACCAAATCCTTTACAATAAATAGACCATGAGATTTAATTATTGGTTGATCATCATAACTAACTTTTTTTCACAGATCCTTATAGGCCAAAGGTGGAAAACACAAATCTCATGGAAAGTGGAATCAGTTTTTTTTTCGATTTTTATGAAAGAAATGCCAAAACAATTTATTTATCATCGAAAAGTAACATGAAAAATATACAACAACACGAAAATAACCACTCGATACAAACACGTTCACATTAGTCAAAGATTCTGATTGAAAATCTGAATGACAATTTCAAATCAATAAATTAACTTGTCTTATAGAAACGAACTGGGGATTTTTACGGTCGAATACTTTTAGATTATTTAAACGAAAGAAATTAATTTTATTCCTTCTCTCCTGAAGTTAGTATTACGTGAGCGCTTAGTACTATGGGAAAGAATAATTCAATGGTTAGTAAATAACTAGCGGCTTTCACCGTAAAATCTATGAAACAACATCTTGTTAACTTTGCCTCATCAGTCATTCTCTATAAGGCAGTATGGTAAATTTCACGTTCAGCTAAAATTCTTTTGCAGTGATATCAAATTTTTTCAGTTTCCTTATGGAGAACTTTCTATAACATCAAATTCCAAACTATGTTCCCCAGTTTTCGTCTTTGTTTAGGTGTAGAGCACCCACTATTACATTGATTCTTACATGTGTCTAAGTATCTAATAGCTTCACTGTAGAAGCAAAAGCAAAGTAATTTACATTATTTTTACCGAAGGTTAGCTTTTAAAATTATTCACCTAACAAATATCCATTATGATTTACACGGAAGAAACGGAACGTACATAATTGCATTTCAGATACTTTGGTTTCTCTTTTTTACATACTAAATCCTGAAAACGTCTGTAGAGTTATTTATAGACTTCATCAGATTTTCATGAAAACCATATTCATGAAAGATGTTCAAACTGAGAAGGTTATGGTAATTCATAATATAAATCTCAAATTTTATATTTAAAAACCTTCTACTGAGTAGTATAGATTTTCATTATCGTGATTTTAATATCGTAGAGACTCATTGAGTTTTAAAATTAACTTGATATTGTTGGGTTGAATCTTCCCATTGACGTTTAGGACTGCAATTGATCAGTCTCTTATTGGCCATATGTGCATACTGTACGTATTGCCTCGATATAGCCTTAATTCACAAGCATCATAAGCAAAGATGGATAGCGCGTCCTGGAGTCCACTGCTATATCTAGGCAATATGCACAGTATGCACATATGGCCAATAATAGACTGGACAATTGCAGTCCTAAACGTCAATGAGAAGATTCAACCAAACAATACCGAGTGAATTTAAACTTCACTCATTGCACAAGCTAGTGGCTATCAGGACTCAGTAACTGGGTGAACAACGCGATGATGTTTGGGGCGGACGGTACTAGGTTCTAGTCTCAGAGTGAACATCAACTCTAAGGTGCAGCTGAGAAGTCCCAAATAGGACAAAAATGCGCGTACTGGATAGCACTGCTAGCCACCGTACATCTTTGTTTATAATCACTGAGTTTTTGATTAAAATATATAAAATTCTATAAATAAAAATAATATATCTAAAATATTCCAATGACTAGAAAAATTATATTTAGAACAATCTACCTAGTGCTCAATTTTTTTGAAAACATATGAAATTCTAGTTCATTGTGAGGGTTGTTCATAGTGTTGAACATTTAACAATGAAACTCTGATGTTAATCAAATCATTGCG